GTGCCGGCAAGCGCCCTTGCCCAATTGCTTCAATCATGCCAAGTTCCGGACTCGCTGTCCACAGCCCTGCACAGCACCGGCATTGAATCTGTGTCGGATTTCGCATATGCCTTCTCAGAAACAGCCGATCTGGATCATTTCTGCGGCGACGACTACGCGCACATCTGGCTGGAGCTAGATGCACCTGTGCCCCGCATCTCCCCTGCCATGGCTCGCCTCCGCAAGGCTCTGCAGCAGGCTAAAGCCGCTTCAGCACCAACGCCGCCACAATCGCAACCAGCACAGCAAGCCTTTGCACCCGTCGCCCCTAGCCCCGCAAACTCTTGGGCAGAACACGCCCCGCCCCGCCTTGATCAATCTGCCGTGCAACGCCTGGTGCAAGCCTTTAAGGACGCCTTTCCTGGCGAACACCTCGACAGCGACGCTATGCCAAGCATTCGTCTGCTCAGCCTGGTCCATCGGTGGTTCCAACCGGGACACACCATCACCTGGATCCCATGGCAGCTCCGCCTGTCTGCAAAGCAGTATGACGAAATCATACAGAGCAAGGCCACCAAGCAAATCCGCACTGAAGCGCATCTCATCAGCACCGCATTTTTCGACGACACGCCCGAAATGGCTGTCGATCACCTTCGCCTCAGCTCCGCCTGGTTGCAACGCGTGCAAACAGTCTTTCGCAACGCCATCGCAATATGCAACGGAGCGCACCTGCAGCGCTTGAAGGCGTTTGACAAAAAGGTTCTCGACCTCGCAACGCAAACCGTTGCTCCAGACTTGCATTTACGCACCGTTACCACGCAAGAGCTTCTTGTAGCCGATCGGAAGATCTGGCAAGAGATTGCCGCACTGCACAGCTCCGGGTGGTCCCTGGATGATGCCTTGCATGAAATCACTAGTGTCCGCTCGGACATCAGTTCCCTACTGCAACTTCGTGCCAAGCCCATGCCACCCGCACCGCCCCTCCGCCCCACCAGGGAAGACCGCATCCGCGGTAAAGGCGGCAAAGCAAACGGCAAAGGAGTGCGACAGCCCGGCAAACAGCCCCGCACTCCCAACTCAGGCAACCAGCAAACCGCACCGCTCGCCACCAAACTTGGCGACAAGACTCTCTGCATCCGCTTCAACAAGGGCAATTGCACAAACAAGAACTGCAAGTTTGAACACAAGTGCGCATTTAAACTGCCCTCCGGCCAGCCTTGCGGCAAAAATCACGCAGCGTGCAACCACAAAGTGGAAAAGCCCAGTCCGTCTTGAGAACCGCAGGAGATCGCATCCGGGAGCAATCTCTTGCCCGCAGCCCGGAACAAGCGCAGCCTTTCGCCTCTCTCGCTCTCCCGCGCATCCTGCTCAGCCTCCCCCTGCACCTCACCTAGTGGTTCTAGGTCCCGCAGCCCCCCTAAAGCTCAGGTTGCTAAGCCACCCTGCCCGGCCTCGCCTGCCTTAGCTCACAAACCTGCCTTCCCCACAGCATAGCAACTCGTCGGCCAGTGATGCCTCAGAGTCTGCTGACAGCGACTCCGCTGGCCTCGCTCCAACCTCGGCTGCCTCCACTTGCACCCCCCCAGCCCGCTATCTCCTCTTTTGGCCGCCGGACCTTTTCCAGGATGCCAAGCAAATCAATCAGTCCCTGCACAGATTCGCTTCTCCACCTGCATTGCAAACCTCGGAAGGTCATTGGCATCCGGACATCTTAGCCTCCATGCAGGGAGCGGCTTGGTCTGGCATCCTCGCAGTGCTATGCATTCTTGGCGACACCAGTTCCTATTCAGCATCTTTCCATCGCAGTCTCTGCGCCCTGCATCGCGCTGCCCACCTTCAAGGTGCACATGTCATCTTTGCATTCCCGCAGCCCTCCACGGAAGACATTTTTGACATGTACCTGCAACTTGCCCAAGAACTCGCAGCCACGTGCACATGGACGCGCTCGCCTCATCGCATGCTCCTAGGGGTTAGCTGTTCCCTGCACAGCAAACTGCACTCGGACGGCATCCCAGATTTGCATTCCTTGGCTTCCCTCTGCACCACAGATGTGACGTCACAGTCGCCTTCTGCTCCATTGCCCCTGCACGCTCTGCACAGCCTAGGAGCATCCACTTTCCACTGCAAACGCTCCCCTGTTTGCGACGGTGCGGGCAATGTCAGCTCCGCTGACCACATGCATTGCACCAATAAGCCCAGCACCCCTCTAGCTACGGTTGCGCAATCCATGCTGGAATATCTGCGTCAAGAACAACTCCTTAAGCCCATCCTTGCTCATCTGCACGCGGGTCTGCCAGAACCGCCCCTCTCGGAACAACATGGTTCCGTGCTTGCAGAAATCATTAGACTTCACCTTGCCCGGCACATGCCCGCAGCCGAAGCTCTGCGTATTGAGCCAGGCCAGCCCTTTCGCCTCGAGATCCTTGAAATGCTCGCGCGCGCCATTGACGATCCTGACACCGGCCTCGTGCCAATTCTCAAAGAAGGCGTGCCCACAGGCGCTTTCTCACCGCTGCCGCCCAGCGGCCTCTGGCCTTCCGCTCCGCAAAACATTGATACGTCGTCTGATCTTGACCCGCACCGCCTTGAGCACTGCGCGGGAAATTGGACCGCCGCTGAACGCGACCCCACCTTGCTTCAGCAGCTGGTTGACCAGGAAATTTCGGCGGGACACGTTGCGCCTTTCCACGGCTCCGCAGAAGATGCCGCAAAGCACTGGCCGCTAGGCACCGCTATCGGCAAACTTAATATAGTTCATGCAGACGGCAAAGATCCCCGCCTAGTACTAGATAGTTCGGTGTGTGGGTTAAACCCTTCTGTGCACTTACCGGAGCGTGTATCCATGCCAAGCGCCCTCGATGTGCAACGCACTTTTTTCGCCTCCGATCCTTTTGCTCGTCTGCAAGGCCTCTCCTTAGACTTTAAAGCTGCACATAAGGCACAAAAAGTTCGCCCCGCAGAGCAGGGCACTCTGCTTTTTCGCATTGCCGACAAGCTTTATCATTACACCGTCTGCCATTTCGGCGCCCGCTTTTCTGCATACTGGTGGCAACGGACAGGATCCCTTATCCTGCGCATCCTGCATTCACTGCTCTGCAAATACCCGCACAAAGCATGGCTCTACGTTGACGACATCCTCGCCGCGCTCCTGCGTGACAAGCTCGACCAGCCGGTCGCCCTTATCGTTGCACTGCTTGCCGCGCTCCACGCACCCATCAGCTGGAAAAAGGCACAGCTCGGCGATCAAATCACTTGGTGCGGCTGGACCTTTTGCTTCCGCACAGAAACCGTCGCCTTGGTCCAGAGCAAACTGGAAAAACTCCGCCAACAGCTCCGCAAGCTTCGCACTGCCACCAAAAAAGGACCTGGAAGCGTGCCTCGGACTGCTCAACTGGGCTACCACTCTCAGCCCGCACATGCGCTCCTTCATGTCATGCCTTTATAAAGACTTGCATAGCAGTGCAGGAACCCTCCACAGCATCGCCCCGCAGGCTTGGGCGCCCTTCTATGAGTGCCTTGATAACACCGCCAAGCTTTCTTCCACGCCTCTTGGCTCCTGGCTGCCTCGCAATGCACAGCTTCTTGAGGTTGGTTCTATTAAAATTCATTCTAAGTCTGACGTGCCCCGCGTGCCGCCCTCCCACAAGCACCAGTGGGTCCGCCTGGCTGACCCTAATCGCACAGAAATTCACTTTAAACAAGACAGCAAATTCTGCCTCGCCTGGCTAGAGCTTTGCTTTAAGCACGAGCAACCACGCAGCCTCCGCACTCCTCCCGTCGCGCCCTGCATGAGTGCCGCGGACGCTTTCGCCGACACTGACCGAATGGGCATCGGCGGCTGGCTCAGCACTTCCTCGCACTTTGTTTGGTACAGCGAGATCTTTACTGCCGACGAAGTCCGAGCCGAGTGGCCTCAACTGCACGGCTCCATGCAGAGCTACATCGCATGCTTCGAGGCATTGGCACAGCTTGCACTCGCCCATTGCTCATGGGCTCTCCTTCGGCACAAACACACGCGCTTTGTCCTTCCCAGCGCCAGCGACAACACCTCTGCTGAGAGTGGCGTCAACCGCCTGTTTACGACAGCAGAACCGCTCAGCACATTCTTGCGCCTTGCCGCGACCTGGGCGCACCTGCACCGTGTCCAGTTCCAAGTCGAGCACTTGGCCGGCGAAAAGAACACGTGGGCTGACGCCCTCAGCCGCGGACGCCTGGCCTTCATTAAGCACCGTAGTGCCGAACGCGTTCGCATCAGCCTAGCGCAGCTCGCATCTGCTTCGCACACAGTTTCACTTCGAGGGGAGGAGAACACCTTCCCCCCTCGCCTCTGCGAGGCACAGCGCAGCCTACTGCGTTGATTTGCTCACCGCTCGTGAACCGAGAAAAAAACTCTGCATCAGAGCTCTGCCACTCGCACGCCCTGTGCTCTGGCACTTTTTTACTGCTTCTCCTTGTCCGCCTCGACAGGTCTCCTTCTACATCCTCATGCGAGGGGGGATTCTGAGCCCGCGAGGCAGAGGATGCTGAAGTCGAACTAAAGAGGGGGAAAAGAGCTCGGCAACGCATTGCCCCGCTCCTCCCGTTACTGGGCATCGCATTGCCTCGCATCGACTTCAAGCATCCTTCGCGAGTAAAAAAGAGGTGAGCGCCTTCTTACTCTGTTCTGCATTGCTCAGCAAACTCACAGTATTCTTACTGAGAACGCTTGTCGTGAGTTTGTTGTTTTGGTCGACAGTGTTTTCGGTAAGTACTTGAGCTTGCATTGCTTCGCCTTGCGCCGCACTGCTAGCTCAAGCTGTCGACCCGGATCGCTTCCGATTTTAGCTTTTTCACCCACCCTCCACAACCCGGGGGAAAAGAGCTCGGCAACGCACTGCCCCGCTCCTCCTGTTACTGGGCATCGCATTGCCTCGCACCGACTTCAAGCATCCTTCGCGAGTAAAAAGAGGTGAGCGCTTCCTTACTCTGTTCTGCAGTGCTCAGCAAACTCACAGTATTCTTACTGAGAACTCATCAGGAACGTCAACCAAGGCATTCACAGAGGGAGCATACAGCGGAAACCCCAAAGCATTCAAGGTCTCCACATCAGAATCTGCAAGATTCCGCCGGGCCCCTATGGTATGGGCTATCACAGTCCACTTCGGGCCACCCTCCCAGGGCATAGTTCGGTGTAGTCGCTTCGGATCAACCTTGACGACTCGATCCTTAACAGGGATCACGTGGCCCTGGAGCACATCTCCCGAGGCAGTCTCGACCGCAACGTCGGCAAACTCGGCGTTGGAACCCTGCTGCCAAATGCCACCTCCCTTGAACTCTCCCAACGTCAGCACATAGTTGGTAGAATTCCTCATGTTGAACCGATCACAATGCACATCAGTACACAGATCACGTGCCACCGTAATCGACGTAAACTCACAGCTCTCACCACAAGACTTCTTCATAAACTCAGCAAGGTAGTGGGAGAGGGCCGAATGGCGGCCGGTAGCGTTCGTCACACCTACATGTGGTCCTCGTTGGTAAGCACCAAGAGTGGTGTGGATGGGAGGGGGACCATTGCCACCCCACGCAGTAGCCCGCTGCTTTCTAGTCTTGACAAAGGGCTCCGACTCCAACACCTTCAAGCAATCCTCCATGGAATAGCGGTTTTCCTTCGCAAAGCGCTCGGCAAAACCGTTTCGCCCCCTTGAGCTTGTAGTAGATGGCGAGGAAGAAACTTGACCTTCTAGTTCACATGGCCTGGGACCATTGGAAACCACAGACCACGACTCATCATCTGCATCCGAGTCCGACGAGTTAGCCAAGCCAATCAAGGAGCTCAGCGCCCCTACAGCCGGATCTTCCCGAGGACCACCATCAGCTGCCCCTGGTAGTAGACTAGCCCCACTCGCTAGCTCCACCGCCGTTGTTTTTCCCCTCACACGTCGCGCTGGTAGTAGATCAGGTGGCGAGGAAGCGGGTCCCGAAGCGCCATCCGTCCCTGGGTCACACTCCTCGAACTGACATATATTCGTAGTGAACCACAGGTTGCCCTCATCGGTGTACACCATGTGTCCACCGGGCACGGAGCGAGCCGGGCCCAGATAGACCCCTCCAATCCATTTCGGTTTGAGGTCCGTACCGCCAGCACCGTAGCCCTTCCTCCTCGTAAACACCCGCGAACCAAATCTAGCCGCTGATGGAAACTTCCGACCCATAGCCAACGCCTGGTGTTGAGAAACAGCTGTTTCCGCTGCCATAGCCCACCATCCCTTGATCACCTCATCATCCGCGCCGCTGAGCTCTTTAGCTTGAGCAAGCAACACCCTCATGCGCATCTTCACATAACCCACCGCTCTTTCAGCTGTCCCGTTCTGAGACGGATCATCTCCCTGGGTGCGGGACAATTCAATATCCCTGGCTGCCGCCCAGTGCTCAAAA